TCAAACATACATCACTCCTGACAAACGTGACTGCGTTTCATTTATCTGATGTTTGTTTACTTTATCATGTACGTTTGATGTACATAATTTTAAAATATATTTATCAACATATTTTCATAATAACTGTGTTGATGTACTATAATTTATTTATCATGTACACATTTAAGTCAAACAGAGCAGCTCTGGAGTAGATTATAGATTATATTTTGTTTGTTTAGTGTAGTTTTTTCATAAGGCTGTTTAATATTGAACAGAATTTCTCAGTGTTGGGCTCAAGAGTGTCGACCTATTTAGGGTGTGACTGCTTCCTTAACTGGGTCAGTGCGCACACACACACACACACACGCACACACACATACGCACACACACATACGCACACACAGACGCACATGCACACTCTCCTCTATTGTCCTTCCACGTCCCACAGAGTGTCAGATCTGTGTGTGTAGGTATTCCCTTACCTTACATCATCACAAAGACACACCTGTGTTTTAGACCCACTTTCACACACACACACACACACACTCACACACTCACACACACACACACACACCCAATCTGAGCCTTGGAAGGACTCTGACTTTGTAGGACAATAGAGGAGTGTGTGTTTGTGTGTGTGTGTGTGTGTGTGTGTGTGTGTGTGTGTGTGCGTGCGTGTGTGTGGAGCAGGTTTATGCCACATCATGGGGACAAAAACCTTCATACACTCACCTTGTGGGGACATTGCTTCCTTGTGGGTACCACAAGTTGGTCCCCACAATGTAAATTATTCAATTTTAAGGTGAGGTTAAGGTTAAGGTTAAGGGTTAGGTTTAGGGTTAGGCTAGTAGTAGTTCTGGTTAAGGTTTGGGTAAGTCTCCAGAAAAGGAATAGAAGTCTATGTTGTGGCCCCAAAAATGCATACACAGACATATATGCACAAACACACACACATTACACACACATGAAACACGCACATATTTACACACACATGCACACACACAGACACACACAAACAAGATAGCTAACATTAGCCTTAGCTAAGTAGCCACACAGTTTAGTTGGCCAGTTATTTAGGCTCTGACCTACTGAACAAAAGCAATATTATTTAGATGAGCTTTCATTGATGTGAATCACACACAGTGCTAACTTACTCAATAACCAACCAGCTAATGTTAGCAAACAAAAACATACAGGTGTTTTGCTGAATTCCAACTCCCCTTCGCTCGTCACGCAGGCATATAGAACCTCCAGATTACACTCACGACTTCAGCTGTTTCTGATTGTAAATAACTGTAAATCATTAATTTAGTAGAGATAGTTTAGGCTCAATCCCATTTCTTATTTCTACCCCTAGTGTCAGCTTGGCCCTTGGAACTGAGTTATAAGGGGTAGTGGTTGAGCCCAATCTTCCTCTATGAAATGGGACCCTCAAATAAAGTGCATTACTTCATTAACAGCTACTAGTGCTGCTCTGTAGGCGACCCTGCCTGTCTGCAGTGAGAGCAGAGGAGGGTGATGATGTTACACAGAAACGTGTCTATTGAAACACAGTCATGCTTATATTCATAAACACATAAACACACATCATTCAAATTAAAGCAAGCAGCTTTTTCCACCTTTGTTTACTTATTTCTTTATTTCTTCACATAGATTCATTAATATTTTTAAATTCATATTATATATATATATATGTATGTGTATTATTGCTGCAATACTGGAGCCATTATTTTCCACATAGGTCCCATAATTCCATGTTGCATGGTGCTATAGTTTTCTGCATGCTTCAGAGTAAATATCTGCACATAAACAAGGTGCAAAAAGAAGAAAACGTCCCTTTTTTAAAATAGAAATACAGCCCAGGACACAGTCTAGCCATTCTAATAATGCATTAAACGACATGCCGTGTTTTTTTCTCTGCGTTAGGCTACGTGAGGAGTCCATAGTAGAAAAAAAAGATGTTTCCATCCTTCGTTTTGTAATATACAGTTACGTTCTGAGAAAAAGAACACTGTTTTTATTATAGCTTTTTTTTCCTTTCGCTCTCTTTCCGCTTATTTTATTTATTTATTTTTTTATTTAAAGCTAGCAATCCGTTAGATAATCACTAAACTATGTACAGTGGTGACCAGGCAGCGGTGCTCGGGCTCTGAAAGGAGTGACCAATAAGTAGACGTGAGAACTAACAGCTGTTTGTGTTTGTGTATATGTTTTTGTTTATGTTTATGTGCAGGACTGGGGTGAGGTGTGATTGCCCGGCTGCCGTAAAAAGGGGGAGGAGCTTATCAGAGGGTCATTTCTCTTCTTTTCTTCTTTTTCTTCATCCACTTTTGTCTTTTACAATTCAACGCTACGCTTTTAGCATTACTGCAAAGAGAGAGAGAGCGAGAGAGAGAGAGACATATACAGAGAGTGAGGTGAGAAAGATGGAGAAGGAGTGATTCTTCTTTTTTAGACTTTCTTCAGTTAGCATATCCATGCTCCACCCATTAATGCGTTCATTCATTCATAGCTACTGTTGCTAGGTTGGACAAGCTTTCCAGAAGGTCTGTGAAAATCACATTCAGCCTTAAAAATTCAGGCTGGAGATTAAATTTGCTTCATAATGTTGAGTTTCCAGTTTAAAATGCTATGCTACGGAGCTGCATTGTGCTGTTTGGAGCTAAACAAAGCTAGACAGGTTAGAAACAACAATGAATTTGCCACCACACTAACGTTAGCACAATTACATGACACAAAAAACATTTGTATGAGATAAAAAATAAATAGTATTTGAAATAAATGCATTAAACCATGACTTCAGTGACCAAAACTATATATTAAGTTATATATATTCTTTGTGTGGGTGGTACAAACTGTCACAAGACCATTTACTTTAAGTATGCACCTGAGAAAGATGATTTTAGCATCAAAGCTCTACAAATAGAAGTAAGGACACCATGTTATAATACTGATACAACTACCATATTTGGTGGTTATAATGTTTAAAGGGTCTATTATTGATATTAAGTGGCGAACCTTGGCTGTTAAAGCTAGGCCTCCAGTTCAAGCCATAAATGTCAAAACTCAGTTAAAACACCTCTATGCTAATGCTAACCTCTGCTAGCACCCCTACAGGATTCTAGTAGTTTGTTAGCACTAAGCTAATAGCATTTTCTGGCAGTTTTAGATGAAGCACAAGCAGCTGAAGCTTCTAAAAGACATTCCATATTTCACTTGAAGCTTGTGACAGAAAGGTTAGTATATATTTTACCTTCTCGAAGTTTTACTGTGGCTCTTTCAGTAAAGATTCCTGGTTTAGATCTGCCAGCTAGTATTCACAGTCAGTCATGTATCTAGAACTTCCAGAAGGCCTAGAGTAATTCAAAATTGATTGGTGATTGGTGGATTCCTCCATTATCTCAGACTGATACTGATAGTTAATTTAATGTGTCCTAATATTGAAGTCCTAACCTACAGAAGAGCTTGCTTAGTTATGTATATCTAGATAAACAATACCAATTTCTCTGGGTTCCAACCCAGTTGTTGCTGGGCATTTCAAGAATTCAACCCTCCTAGCTTAACAATGAAATAAGAGTAGCACTATAATAGTTGCAGATACAAACTGTTCTATTGACTAAACATGAAAAATAAAGACATTTTTTTTTAATTCCCAGAAACCACTGGGCTTTTCTGAAGGCCTAGAAGACCCTGAGGGTTCCTGCTGATATGATTGTGCTGCTACATTTATATTATGTTCACAGGAGATGTGTAAAATATGAACACTCACAGTTGTGACCGGTGGGATAACAGAGTGGCTCACCTTTATATTATCCTAACTGTCAATAGGTTTGTTTCATAATTTTTTTTTTTAAATGGTTTATTATTTGTCCACTTATTGATTAATTGGGTCTGACTGACTTTACTACAACTGTGTTACCAAGAATAAAACTTATATTTTCACTAACTTTTCTCAAAGGTATACATTTTGTGTCTTTGGACTTTGGGCTGGATTAAATGTGTTATGTTGACAAAGTCTCTCATTAGGGTGGATGGGATTTTCACCTGTGTTCTTCAAGGCTTGCTTTACACAGAGAAACTTTATGAAACTTTAGTTGCTTGAAACCTACATGGAACTAAATTGCACTTGAGTTGCACGGTGTAAAGTGTCCTGCAACTCGTCTAAAACTCAGCTGCTTTGAAACGTGTTGCATGCAACTTTGATTGTTTTCGAATCGCTTTGTGTAACTGTCAGGTTATTATGTTGCAGGCAACTCACAACATGCAGCTAGTTGCATGAACATTTCACCATGTAAAGCCAGCCTGAAGCTCATCCAGCCTGGCAACAGTTGCTACAAAAGAACACATCTGTGAGTGGAGCATGCATAGATCAACTGTATAATAAATGAACACATCAAGTCTAAAAAAGCTCTATGTATCCCATCTCTCTCTCTCTCTCTTTCTCTCTCTCTCTCTCTCTCGCTCTCTCTCTCTCAAGAACAGGCATTTGAAATCAGTCTCTCTTTTCCAACAAGTCTCTTTCGGAAGACCGAACTTCGGTGGGCCTTGGGGAGATGTGTTTGTATGTTGCATGTGCCCATGCATGTGTGTCCTCTGTGCATGCGTCTGTGTTACGAGGGTCGAGAGTCCGTCCTTTTCAATCAACTCCTGATGATGATGAACTCACAATTTGTTTGTCACTCAAGTTCATTCTTTCTCTTTTTTTCCCCATCGGTCTGTAAGACCCTGGTCTATCCTTCTTTCTTCCTTTCCCTTCTCTTCTTCTCTTGTTTTCTTTACGTTCCAAAGTTCTCTTTTCTCCCTTTCCTTTTATCTTAGTCCATCCTCTGTTCTTCCCCTTCTTTTTAGCCCATCTTTCACAACTTCCCAGACCACTCTTCCTTCTCTTTTTCTCTTATCTTTCTCCTATCCCTCTCTCCCCAGTCTCCCCATTGTCCGGCCCACAAACAGTACTTGCAGTATCAAGTCACAACAACGGGGCGTGACCTGCGCCCTGTCAGCCACGCCCACCCCCTCCGAAGCCCCTCCCCGACCCGCCGTCAGACGTAGGCTGACTCGCTGGATTGCGTGCGGCCCAGGTTAGGCAGCGAGGACAGGTGTAAGAGGTCCTTCTTGCGCACCTCGCAGACGGACTTGCGGCGCGCCTGGACGCCACGGATGGCCGTCTTGATCTTCCTCCAGCCCAGGTGGTTCAGTTCGGCCAGGTTGAGAACCACGCAGATGCCGCTGACGGCGAACATGAAGACGAGGAAGACGGTCTTCTCAGTGGGTCGTGACACGTAGCACTCCACCTCCTTCACACATGGGTAGCGGTCACACTCGAACATGGCCGGCACGTTGAAGCCATACAGGAAGTACTGGCCGGCCAGGAATCCGATCTCCAGCGCATTCCGGAACACCACCTGGAGAAGAGCCAAACAGTAAAGGACAGTAAACAATACCATCAACTAGAAGGGAAAGTTTTGTGAACAAACTTTAAGTTGGCTTGACGAAGCCATTGCTGTGGAATCCCAGATGGTTGCTAAGTTGTTTCTAGGCCATTGTTATGGTATTCCAGGTGGTTGCTAAAGTGTTATTGCCATGGTGCTATAGTATTACAGATGTTTGCTAAGGTGTTGCCACGTGTCCTAGGTGGTTGCTAATGTATTGCTTGGACACTTCTATGTTATCCCAGGTGGTTGCAAAAGTGATACTAGGCCATTGCTATACAAGCAATGGAAAGCACCAACCACCAGATCTGTTACGTCAGGTATCGTGTTGGGGGGTGGAGGAAGGCCATCCTACCCACCCAGAGAGCGAGGCCAATTGTGTTCTCTTGGACTCCCGGCCACAGAGGCTGTACCATCAGCAGGGATCGAACTTGCAACCTCCTGATGATAGAGCCAACAGTGATTTTTTTCAACAACCGTTGTCACAAAGCAGCTTTACATAAAATCTCCATGCCACAGTGAACAAGCCAAAACACGACAGTGGCAATGAAAAAATCCTAAAAGCAAGAAAAAGAATTCTTGAGAGGAACCAAGAGTCAATAGGGGAACCCAAGCAACACGCATCAAATCAAAGATCAAAGATTTTCTCACTTCATGCATATGAAAAGTGAGGTGGTGTGGCGATAAACTAAATGATTCCTTGCACTAGTTGTGGACACAGGGGTCTGAGTTCTCTACTTTCTAAGGTTTTTTGTTCATTTGGTTCCTCCACTGAAAAGAAATGGAAGGGAAACTCAAATACTTGTAAATGTAGAACTGTGAGTCCTATATAAAACTATATTTTCACACTGTCTTGTTTGTACGCCTACATGTGAAAAGAAGAGTGGCCTCAAACTAAACCTGCCGCAACATTAGCAACTTGTCACCTTCTAATGTGAACAAACGAAACAATCAGTAATTTACCAAAGTACTGGACACATATCCAAAGGTGCAGCAGCACTACAACACCTTTTCTGTTCTGATATATGTTTGAGTTCTATCTGACCACGCCTGACCCTACCTGGATGACGTAGAAGCGTGAGATGCCATCCTGCCGCCTCGTCTTAGCGCTCTTGGTGGAAGCGTGTGTGAGGCCACGAGGTGCATTGGGGATCTCCTTGGTCTCCAGGCATTCATGCTCATCTTTGGGGTCTGGGTGTACCAGGATGCCGTTTAGGTTTCTGAGTTTTCGGCTCGGGCCGTGGCCGTGGTCGATGTAGGGTCCATGCAGGAAGGTGTACTGCCGGTCCTTCTGCTTGGCCGACTGGTGCACAGAGTAGGTGATGAAGCAGAGGCTAGGCGTGCACACCAGAATGATCTGGAATACCCAGTAACGGATGTGCGAGATGGGGAAGGCCTTGTCGTAGCAGGCCTGGTTGCAGCCTGGTTGCAACGTGTTGCATATAAACATCATCTGCTCGTCCTCATATACCTTCTCCCCCACAATGCCCACGATCAGGATCCGGAAAATCACCACCACCGTCAGCAGGATCCTGCATGGAAAGGGAGATTTTCAATATTATTTGTTTTTGCCATAATTGCTAGAAAGCTGCTATGATGAACCATTATCGGTACTTTATGTGCACACATAAGCAAAAGTTGTGTGTATTTTTTTAATAGAAGGTGCAACAATAGATATAACGTGTTGAATGTGGTGTGTTGTGACCCAACATTGAGCCACATTGGTATCAGAATTATCATTGATAATTGTTACCAACTTCAAAGTCGCCCTTAAATCATATTTACAAGAGCTTCAGAAACAGTTTCGGTTTGTGATTTTTTGACTTACTACTGGCTTTTACTCTTTCTTAATGTGAGGAAAAGGATCGTTTCAATGGTTGATGGTAGATAATTGTTTATTTTAATGAATGAAACATACATATTCAGATTAGGCTGTAGACAATTGCTTTTCTCTGTAACCACTGGGCACATCAAAAGTGGCACTGTGTGTTTTTGTGGCCAATCATAAAATTTTGGCCAAAAGAAATACAATGGCTTACAATGAAATGTCCATATCTTGCGCTATTCACTTCTGATTTTGAAAGTTGTTACTGCAAGTTTGTGTGTTCAGTAGATCCTGCTGAGGTTTATGCCTGTTTCTTCTCTAATGATGACCGCTAAAATGATGTGTGCTAGCAGCGCCCCCTGCTGGAGAGACTTCAGGCTGCTAGAGGGGAGTTCCAAAGCCAGGATTTACATATTAAAACAAGTGTTTTCCATTATTATAGCAGATATACTCTTGAATAAATACCTTTAGGAAACCATGAAGCACAACATTTTTACAATTTTACAACTTTTAACAATATTTAGCAAGTTGTTTAAACTTAACATTGTCCTTGTTCTCTCAGTCCTTTTTTCCAACATGGCAATTATCACCTTTGAGGCATGATCAGCATTATTATGTTAATTCAAAAGAATGTAAAAATGTCTATTTGTCTTGGTTTTTGTCTGAGCGTGTCCTGAATTTCAGTTTCAGTAGAAGTTTTTCATTTTTATCACAAGAAAAAAAGCAGAGAACATATACTTAACAGAAAATTACACAGAGGTCTCAACAACCGTACTGTGCTAAAGATTTAGGCACTTAAGAAAATAGTTTAAATCCATTTATCTGGACAACAAAAGAGTTTTTTCGCTCACCATTTTGCACACCATATATTAATGTAGGATTAAACTGGGTATTTAATAATAAATACAAATAACATGTGGCATATTCACAGTTATGAGGAAATGAGTAAATGAACACACTGACATACATTAAGTCACTTTTTAACTAAATGTTATTTGTATTTATTGTAATGTTAGTGTTGTCTGAGCATATAAACCCCCAGATAAATAGCTTTTTATTTGTATAATATTCTTAGTTGCAAAAAAGCTTTGCACAGTACTGTATAATAGATATTTTACAGTATTTAGTGTCCACCATTGGTTTCTAGTAGTTCTAGTAGTACTTCTAGTCGCAGTAGTTGGTTGCACATTCTGCTTTGAATTTACTTAATAATAACACATTTGGCTGAAAAGTCACCTAGATTGAAAATGTCAAACACACACACACACACACACACACAGACACACACACACACGTTTATTCAACCGAAATAAAATCACAGTCTTCTTTCTTTCTTAGCCTTGAGAAAGTCATTGTAATTCTCGTTCTCTGCGTTTGTGTGTGTCTCCAGTGTTTCTGAAAAGTGGGCCACACTTTAACAAAGCCATTGAAACTGCGTGCACGTGTATGAATGTGTGTGACCTGCGTGCTATGGATGATGTCATGGCTGGTGCTACAGCAAGGTTATTACAGCGGTGAATGAAGGACACAGTCAGCTTGAGAGAGAGAGAGAGAGAGAGAGAGAGAGAGAGGGAGAGGAACCATATGTGCACTGACTGCAGCATAAATGAACAAAGACAGCTGAAGGTGTGTGTGTGTGTGTGTGTGTGTGTGTGTGTGTGTGTGTGTGTGTGCACTAGCGCTGCACTATATCGTGGTTTAGGCCTGTTTCTGAACATTTGGTGACCCTGGGTTGACATCCTACTCAGGGGGGCTCCACCAACATCATATTGTTTTGTATATAAGAATGAAAAAGAATTTCATTTAATCAGGGTTTAAAATTTACTACAGTCCAAACAGAATTTAACAATTCTGCAGGCGATTAAGAATAAATCTATGTTAAATAGGAAAAATGAAATAAACGAATGCCTTTAAAGTAACGATTTGGCAAAAAATCAAATGTACGGAATTCTCCACATATTTCAGATGTAGTCGTTCAGCCGAGATAGACAGCCAAGTTTGGTGTCCAAATTTTGCTTCTTTACTTCTGCGCTGAAGCTACGGGGCTAATATTGATAACAAACAATAGAGGTTAATAGTCACCCAAATAATTTCTGTAAATAGAACTGTTTTTCTAGTGCTATATTTGTTTTTTTTATTTTTTATTTTATGATACATCATTATTTAATTATTATTTTTATTCAAATTTTTGATACATGTTTATGTAGGTCTATGTCAGTTGTCGTAAAGAGCTTATGTTGATGTCATGTAGCCTTATGAACACTGAGCTACTGTAAAATAACTCCTAAGCATTACTGTAATTGCAATATATGCAATAAAATCATATGTTACTCATACGTGTGTGTGTGTGTGTTGGGGAGTTAGAGATGTTTCGCTCTAAAAAGCAGGCTCCCTCATGAGGGGTCCAGGTGTTTTCATTGTCATCACACCCTCCTCTGCTGGAGAACGTGTGCATTTTCAGCATCAGCATCTCCATTCATGATCATCAGCACACAGAAAACTGCAGGACAGATATAAACATGAACAGCTCTCTCTCTCTCTCTCTCTCTCTCTCTCTCTCTCTATCTCGCTCATACACACACTCTCATCCTTTAATCCTTTCTCGCTGTGTGTGTGTTATAAATAAAATTCTTTTATTGCTTCGCTGTGGATTTGAACATGCAGGACCTGCTAAATTGTGTCATTGAGCTCTTTTGTAATCCTGGAGGTGAAGCAGCGTTTCTGATTATTCTATGCAGTGGTTCAACACTGTGATACAGAAACCTGAACACACTATGAAGAGCACATGCACACGTATGAGCCCTGGTCAAACGGCATGCTTTGTTTATTTTCTGACTGAGAAAAAGTCAACCTGTCCTCTACACTCCTGCACATTTTAATGCACAATCGCTGAGTTTAACGTAAAACACAGTAAAACATTCTAAGATAAAATGTGCCATCACTTTTGCACAGGCCACATTTTAGGGTCTTTCCAATTTGTCAAATTCAGCATATAAACAGTGCTTTTGCATTAAAATCGAAGAATAAGAAACTCAACAAAACATGTAATTTGACTAGAATTTAACACTTTGTTTCCATCCGAAACTTAACAATGAAACAATACAAGCATGAATCCGCTGAATAAACAGGAATTTAAGATTACAGCCATGTTTTTCTTTAATTCCCAGAAATCATTAGGCCTTATTTAGCCCTGAGGGATCCCCTCTGCTTCATCGCCTGTTTATCAGGATGCAAACATGCTAACAAATGCTAATAAGGGTAACTTAACTAAGCTCTGTGTTATTTGTGTGTCCATCTGCAGCTTGACTCAAGTCTAAGCATGTTCAATCATTGAGTAGCACTGTGAGTGGTTTAAAAAATGCCATGAATCCTGCCTGGTCATTGCATCCTCTGAGATACATGCGCCAAGCTAAGTGCTAAAGCTAGCACTCTGAAGACAACCGCTAAAGAAATGTTACCAGAGCCGGTTTATGAGGAGCCTGGCCTCTTCCTATTTCCCCTGTTATATCAAAAACAGGGCTAGTGTGCGCCCACAAGCGAGTCCTCAATTAATGAGGGTGAATGGAGCTAAACGGCTAAAAATGAAAAGTTAAAATAGTTTCTAATCACTCGCCCAGAACGTTTCTTTAGTTTTAAAAAGTAGAAGTTTGTATTTCACTAAAAAAGTAAAAAAAACCTGCCTGTATGTTTCCTTTTTTTCTACAGCAAACGGGTTTTGGGCAGCAGGACACTAACATTACTGCTACTGAGTGCTGATTGGTTGGTGAGCGGAGCAGCTCATTGGCTGTTCGCGCTCACTGACGTCATGAACGTACATGAGGCGCCGTTTTAAACTCCTATAACTCGAGTTTAAAAGCTCTTAAAAATAAAACAGCAGTGTTAAAATGTTTTTGCTATTCAGTGTTCAGGACATTAAAATTGTTTAAGCATTTATGAACTATAATGTTGCTCAAATGCTCCATTTTAACCCATTCATTTTGGACTCACTCGGGAGCGCCCTCTAGTGTTTGAGACAGAGTGATAATTCTCTCTGCAAGTTCTCTGATTTTACCACCTGCCACATATTAGCGTTGTAGCTGTAGCTCTTGATGACATAAAAATGACGTTAGCGTTGTGCTGCAGGGACTACGACTCAAGCTGTTTGAATGGCAGAGGTGCTAAACTTTAGCGTAGCGCTCTATTCGCAGACGTGTGGGGATAAACGCCATGAGTACCATACTGAGCTGCGCAAGACAGCGAGTTACAGAGACGCTAACGATGTACGTAACATATGTTAACATCAGCGCCGTGCTGTGCGGCTACATGTGGGCAAAACAGATGCTTTGTTAGCAGAGCGCTGCACAGAGGAAGCTATAGGGAGGTTAGCGACATGAATGACAGATATGCTAGCATTAGCGCAGTGCTGCAGAGGCTATAGGGAGGTTAGCGACGTGGCTTCATATTAGCGGTGAAAGCCCCTGGTGTGTCTTTAAATTAGCCGCACCCTCCCCCCGCACCGCTCTCCACCGCCATTACCACGGCAACCGCATAGTGAACCACTCAGCACTCCATCTACTGTAGTGGAGAGAGAGAGAGAGAAAGAGAGAGAGAGATGATTAATGAAGTATTGAGTTGGCGAGGAAGGAAAGAGAGTGAGAACGAGAGAGAGAGAGAGAGAGAGAGAGAGAGGAAGGGAAGATGGATGGATGGAGAGAGCAAGGGCACATT